TCTCTCTCTCTCTCTTTCTCTCTCTATCTCTCTCTCTCTGTGAGTGTGTGTGCGCGTGGGTTTATGGTGTAATTATTCACAGTACAATGGGCTGATGGTAACTTGTTCAGTTGATAGAGGTGACAAATTACATACCGAGTTTGTGATTAGGAAGAATAATGGAAGATTAGATGAAAACTTAATTCTAATGATAGATTTCTGCACGCGATTCTGGGTTGTGGTTAATTTTTTGATCGCAATAAATTGGAGCTGAATGTCACAATTATATGTTGCATATTGTTTCCTTGATGAGCTACATAACTGATGTATAGGAGTGTGTGGATTTTTGTTCGTAAGAGCTGATGCGAATTCTGGTTTCTCGTAGAACATACTTTGGTTGTACATATAATATGCTGTGGTGTTTGCGGATTTTCGGATAGGCTCGGTTTGGGCGAGTACATTTGTGTATGCCCCTGAATTGAAATATGTCTGTTCATCAGAATTTTTTTTTAGCTCAAGTGTAGGTGCCTAAATCAGTGTTAGCTTGCAGGCCAGAATGTGTTTGTTCTGTGCTCTCTTGAGCAGATTATGTTATCTCAATAATTTCTGTAGGAAGTTGAATTTCTGAATTGTTTATGCCTCTAGGAAAAGTTTTATTTGAAATGGCTGAGTTCCATTTTTTTGTTACTTAATCTAAGAACTTAAAAAATCAGTTTGTGAAGTTGGTTGCACAAGAAAACAAAATGTTTGTTTTTCTGTGAATTTGACCAGCTCAAATAAATTTTGCAGCAACCAAATGAGAAGATTATTGGTGATGCAGTGAGCTACATAAAGTACCTGGAGAAAGAGAAAGAAAAGCTGGAGGCTCTAAAGAAATCTCGAATGGAAGAGCAAAACCTGGCCAAATTATTTTGGAGGAGATGCAGAAATCCTAGTTCCTTAGTGGAAGTAAATGTGTCCAATGGTGCCAAATTCCTTGAGATTCAAATGCCCTCCAGACGTGGTTCGGTGGCCAAGATAGTGGGGGTGCTCGAAAAGCATAAGGCTGAGGTTCTAGAGGCAAGAGTTAATGTCAACGAGCAGCGGGTTTTGACTTTCACAGCCACAATCGTGCTCTCATGTGATGGAGGTATTACGATTGACAGGATAAAGGAGGAAATATTAGATTTATAGACAACACTTATGATATTTATAGATTATATACGGGATTTTCAAGATTGTTAGGTTTTTTTTATTGGTGTTGAGTTTCTTGGCATACATGAGGCTTTTGAGTTGTATACTTCCGTATAAATACATTTTTGCCACTAAAGGTCTGTTAACCGGTAAGTTGTTCATGAAAGCATCCTTTCGTTGGATGGGTTAGCTTTTACTTGCCATAATGTGTTTGATAAATGTTTAGATGTCCCTGTTCTGCTTACCTAAGTCCCAATAAAGAAAATCAATCAAGCAAGGCCTCTTGTGTTTCACTAGGCTAGGTGTTGAACTAAACCTCATTCGATTTTTGCTTCCATGTTATTTTCAACTCCTAAATTCCAGCTACATTGGGAATTAACAAATGTAACACAAAAATCATGTGCAGTGGGTAGTTATCCACAAACTATCTTCAGATCACCATTCTGGATATGAATATTTTAGATTTCGTGATGATAACTCATTATCTTCGTTGCATTGTGAAGTCTCTGCAGCTTGTGCTCCACATGAAGCCTCATCAGATGTTAATAGCTTCATGTATTACATGCCCTCTTTCATTTTTCATATACTCATTAGTTTCTGCTGTCCAAATTCACACATCTTCCCATTTCTCTTGATGAAGCTCTCCGTTCTCATACCTTGTCACTTCCGAACAGATACTAATCACCAGCATTATTCTTCTCCTAGAGTAAACATAGTAACCCATATAATGTCAACATTTTAAACCTCCAATGCCTTGACTGTAATATGATATTAGGCAAGTGTTTACTTTTCCAGAAAATGATGAAGTTCGGCATATTGAAAAGGGAGCCATGCCTTTTTAGTCTACCTGGTAATGCTGAGGAAGTTCGGCAGGGTTAACGGAGTTCAACTTGATATTTTTTTTGAAACACCAGAACTGGATTCGTGGATGCTCGAAAGGAATATGTATGTTGAAGTTTTAGCCTGAGTATTCTCTGCTAGTTGATAGGAGAATACATGACCATGAGCCCACTGTGGCATGGTTCATATATTAGAATTCTCAGATTAGTTTGCAATAATTCACCTACATATGGTAAGACATAGACAAATCTTGTAAATTATGTCATAGCTCTGGATACTGATTATGATGATTTCCCAATTATTATTACTATTAGAAACTATTGCAGTACCCGTGCGATGCACGAGAATTTATTATTTCCGTCCCTTTTAAAAAGCAATTTTGAATTAAATTCAAATTATATAATGAACAAAAGATCATGTCATTACTAATTACTAAATATAATGAAAATACAACGTATATATTATTGAACACTTCCTTACCAAATGATATCTACCTCCTACAAAAATCTCGAATCTTGGGAACATCAACACCGATGAGTTGGGTTAGATCCTTTGATGTGGTTATTTGAACTTCATCTAATTAAAAAATATATGGATTAGCCGATCAAAACAACAAAAATATCAACTTATTTATTAAGTTTAATTATATTAAAATTAATGAAATACCTCCCAACTCTATCGCACGATACATTTGCATGATGAGGACAAAAGGTTCTTCTTGATTTTAGTAATGATGCTCAAGAGTATTCAACAGGTCAACATATTGGCCCCAAAGCGTAGAGTTCTTCATGTTTTCCCTACATAATGTCAAACAAATTTAAAAGGCATTTTATATGTTAAAAAACATTCAAAACAATTATTATATATATTGATAGATCAAGAAATGGATATATATAATATCAAGGATTTTGACTCTAAGTTCATAAGAGAGAAGACAATAATTTGGTTAAGAACTCCCTTGACAGTCTTCATTTGAATAGTTGTATACAAACAACCAATCCAATAACATTTACAAAAATATAAGACAAATCATATTAGATTTTCATAACAGATTTTATTATTTTGAAATAAATATAAAATTTTTTGAAATAAAATAAACAAAAATATAGAACGATAATATGGATTTGTCTTTCCACTTGTGAAACTTGGTTTGCCCGTTAATAATGATCCTCCAAGTGCAAAATGTTGATTATGCCAATATTGATTTCCACTTGGTAGTTTTTAAATATATAGGTGTCATGGTCTTCAATTTCGTCGATGAATTGTGCAATATTTATGGGTCGGATAATACCAATAACTCATCCTCCCTAAGAAAGTACATATTCACTAATTAATTAAAAAAATCATAAAAAGTGTAGTGTAAAATGATGCATATAAATAATAATATAAGGACAAATTACCTCAGAATCGTGAAATATAATCTTAAGAACGTTTTGATTATTGCGCTTGTCTTCAGTGTGTTGGAACAGTATAATGATGCGTAGCTTGATCATTGGCCTATTAGTTATTTTATATCTTTCATTTTTCTAAAAACCAAAGTCATTTTGAATGGGGATGGGAAAATTGATTCAAAAGTTTGTTTTGTGAGATGCATTATTTCCTGTCGGTGTTTGGTTCAATGATCACATCATTGTGGTGTTTATATAGTGATTGTGCAGGTGTCATCTACCTATAAATTCAAATATAAAAAAAAATATATATATATAAAAAAATAGAATTTGAAAATAGAATTTTCGGATATTTGGTAATGTAATCAAGGATTAACATTAATTTGATTTAATCGTATTTTTATTAACTAAATGAATAATGATTGATACTAAGTTCACAGCTAACAAATTTTATTATAAAGATAAAAGGATTAAAATTTGAATTGATTTGAATTCTCGCAGCTTAAAAATATGTCAATTTTTATGGGACATCAATTGATTTGAATTTTCGAAACCTAAAATCAATCAATTATTAAAGATCCACACAGATTTTGTTAGGAAATAGAAAGAGGATCATTTTACGGAAGATAATTAGTAGCAAACATTTTTTAATTAATGTGTATCAGGAGTTGCTTAAAAGAGTTTATTAGGAGTCTATCACAATTACTTGAAAAATAATCGTAGCATATATGCACCGATATACTTCCAAAATTAATTCATTAAAAAAATAAAAAGATGACTAAATTTGAAATGATTTGCGTTCGAATTTTAGTTTTATTTTAATATATTTTTCTAAATAATTGGATTATAATTGACATCAAACAAAGAATTCTATCCGATTTTGTTTAAAAAAATGAAATGTGTTGTATATTGTATTTGAAATATAAAAAAATTGAATTGAAAAGAAAAAAAAAAATATTAATTAAGAAAAGGATATAAAATCGGCGTGAGGATATCCAGTAAGAAATACGAAATTGCACGTTATTTCATAATAATAAATCTGATAAACTAATAAAAAAAGATGAGATCAATTGATTTTTACTTGTAAAATTGTTTTTTTTTTTCAAAGAGAAAATAAGATACCACATTCAGTTAAATATGCATAAATTATGTATGGGATACCAATTGATTTGAATTTAATTTACCAAAATTATTTGATTTGTTTACCAAAAATGTATTTTTAATATGTGTATTGCATTCAAATCTCACATTTTACATTTAAATGCTTTCCAATTTTATGGGATATTTATTGATTTGAGTTTTGAAAACCTAAAAATCTTTAATTTTAAAGAGATTCACACGGATGTGGTAGGAAATAATAAAAGGATCATTTTTTTTTTTCGGAACGATAGAGATTTCTATAAATAAAACGCACAAATGTGCAAAGGTACAACCCTAGCTAAACAACACAGCTAACAGCTGAAAAAACAGAGAGGACAAATCCGGAGATCGCCTGGATACCGACGCTAGCCATGCTAGAATCCCAACGACACACACAAAACACAACACACACTACAGACACTGAAAACGCTCCCCAAAGGAGAATAAGAACGACCACCACAGGGTAATACCAGCTCACACTCGGGTAGTACAGAGGCCAACGGCCCAAACCAAAAACACAAGACATACCACACAGCACAACAAACTAACAAAATAAAAAACAACTATAACTAAAACAAAACAACCCTTCCTCAACAGCTTAGCTAGCTAAAACCGGTGGACAAAAGACGACCTCAAGAAAAGGTCCACAACCTGAGAAACCGCTCCGGAAACTGCCCAACGCCTATCAGAGGCTGAATCTCAAGCCCCGAAACCAGAACCAAAGGCCGACCGCCCTCGAACCGAGAGAGTACCCAAACACTCCCCACACCACCAGTGCTCCGAAATCCGCCAACACCACTAGCCGAATTCGACTGCACCTGTTCCCCCCGGACCCAAAACCAGAGAACAAGGGGGACAGGAGATTGAAAGGCACCCGAGCTTTGACTGCTGCGAACATCCGCCGGGTAGGCTCGGCCGTAGCTGAGAACAAAAACCCTCCCCCAACATCATCGCTACTCCCAATCCGGTCAACACCACTGGCAAGATCCGGCGAAATGGTCCTCTCTCCGGCCTCGCACAAAGAAGACAGAGAAAAAGAAAAGAGGGCCAGGGGAAGCACCTTAAACCCGACCACCCCGCACCGACCCAGACGCCGCGAGCTGCCCAAGCCGCTTCCAGTCCCGACGCCACACCCCACCCAGGACCACCATAGAACAACGAACATCGGCAGACCAAAACCACAGGCCGGAGTCCAAACGGGGAGAGACAAACTGCAGACGGTCCCCCGCAGCCCACTTTCCAACCAGAGAGAGGTGAACGAAAAGGACTAAATGAACGCAACCGAGGGCAGACCACCGACGAAAGCTGGTCTGCCGTTGAGGAGGCGCACGGACGGTGAAATTTACGAAGGGAGGCGGCAAATTTTTGGGGAGAAAAAAAGGGGGAGAAGATAGGGTTTGTGTAGAGGATCAATTTAGTTACCAAATAAAAAATAGCTTGGCAATATACAATCCAAATATCCAATTTTTGAACCAATTATCATGTGTGTGTTTTAATCAGTGTTAGCCTAAACGCTAAACGGTAAACAGTCGGCGAGGGCACGTGTAGTGTTTAGACGGTGTACACGGCGTGTACACGGGATTAAACGGATTACACGTTTTTAACTACATTAGTATTAATATTATGACTTAT